TATCTGACCCACAATTACACATGTGTTGGACACGGTTTGTGTTTAGGATGCCTGAACATCCTTCTGCACATGTTCAAACATAGCGAATTTCTATAAATTGCCTGACCATGGACTTTGCAGGGACACTCAAACTGGGTTGGCGCTTCAGTTCGGCATGACCAGCATCTGTCTCGAACAGCCTTTAAAGAAAGCATCTAGCCTGGGCATTAATTAGCTGCAGCTTACCTTGCTTGCTCACTGATGCCAGTGAGAAGTGATGGGCTGTCAGCAGATTGATAAAGCTGGACAGTCTGAATACAGCCTTGGTCATCTCGGCAATTCCTTACTGCTGGATATCTCTGCACGGAGTGGTCTCCGGAGTTGCTTTCAGACACCTTGCTTCTCTGGCTGATGGTTCACTGATGCCATTGCACAAGGGAAAAGACACTGAAGTAACACACTCTATTCCCTGGGCAAATGGAGCCACTTAAAAGACATTAAGAAAATAGGAAGAGCCTTAATACATCCTGTTTTTATCCTACCTAATTGTAAAAGCTCTTCCTGTCTTGACAGAAGTTCATACAGATGTTTTGATGCTTTAATAATCTTTTCAATAGTCTTTTCTTCTGAACAAAACCCAGCTTTTCTGAGTATCTGTCCCATGATGAACTGCAATGGTTATGGAAAAAAGAGAACATCAGGTCTGGTGAATGAAAAAAATTCCATTACCACAATCCGAAAGCTTATTATTATAATCAATACCAGTTTACTTTTTCCCCTAAAAATGCAAAATCATTTTTCAGAATGGCCTTTTAAATCTTTGATTTCACTTCAGCAGTGATGAAGCAACATTAACCTTTAGACTCTCGGTTTATCTGTGCATAAGTTAAGGATTTCTTAAGGAAAACAATCCTTTTGTGTAACTCTTAGAAAGGTTACACAGGCAAGAGAAGATTTTCGGAGCAAACTCAAGAAACTGCAGAAAACCTTACACAATCCCTGGAGAGGGCAGCTGCAGGTTAGCAAGGCCTTGATGTAGGGAGGTGCTGTTACTTGCCAAAATTGGGAATTCCTCCGTAACAGGCTGGTGTGTTTTAACCAAAGGGCAGAGCCCTCTGCTCCTGTTAATCAGCGCTGCACTGCTGGGGCTGTAGCAGTTCACGCTGGTGGAGGTTCTTGGCAATGTTGAGCGCTGTGGTTAGGCAGAATACCCATCTGCAAAGAATGATTCCTGGCATCCTTGCAGCTCATTTCCCAGGTTAGTGTATTTCCAGGCATTTGAAAGTTCCTTTCTCTTAATAGCTGCTATCCATCATTATAAAAATGAGCATAACAAACGAAGCAGAATGGCCAGTTTTGCTCTAACTCCATTGACCTCACTGGATTTACATTAGAGAAGACTTTGGAGTAATAAATTTGCATTTGCACAATTACAAGGAACGTGCTGTAATTCCTCCCACCCCGACTGCTATTGATTTCCCGGGTGCCAGATCAGCGCAATGCAGCCCCGTGTAGCTGCAGTGGACCAGCTCCGGTGGCAGGAGCAGGGGGACGTGCTGGCCCTGCTGGCACCGTGTCACAGCAATGGTGCTGCTCGGATGTGGGTGCCTTCTGCTAAAGGCCCACCCCACCCCTTTATCGCTACCTCCTGAAGCACCAGGGAGGAAAGTTCCTGGAGCAGCCTCCTGGCAGATGCAGGAAAGGTAAAATAGCCTAACAGGTCGATTTTTAAATGGAAATCAGTATGATTATAAATGTCATCATGAGCTCTGTGAAAACAGAGGGCAGGACTCAGGGATGCTCCTGCTAACTTCTAGTCCTGGGTTTCCACATGTATCTTCAAGGGAAAACCAGAAGCCCTTAAGACTGTTTTCTTTCCTGTAGCAGGAAGAAGGATTGAGCCAAAATTTGCAAAGGTGCAATAAATGTTATTAGCCTCCTGGGGCATAACAATCTTGGACAAAGGCTTTTTTAAGGAATGGGTGAGCCACGGGAATATTTCATTAATTGTGGATGGTATTCAGAGAACAGCTGTAAAGATCGGCAGAGGAAGTATTCAATTTGTATGAAGAATGATGAAAGGATGCTGCCTGCGTGTGTGGGTACAACAACCTACAGCTCTCACAGGAGTGTGGGTACCTTGAGGAAAACGCTTTGGTTAGGGCAGTCAATTACTGCCATGTAATTTGACAAAAAAAGACTGAATTAAGTCAACGGAAACTGGAGACACAAGCCACGCTCATGGAAACTTTTTTTTTTTTTTGGAAGCGGATCACCCACCTGCCTCTTCCTTATGAAATGAGAGATCTTAAAGATCACTGAAGAGGAGGGAATCAAGAGCAACGCATTTGTTAGCAAGTCATAAATTTGCAGGGAGAAAGTGAGGGGAGCAGAAAAAGAATGAACTTGAATTTCACAAGGGCGAGAGGCACCCTCGAACCCCGGCAGTTGCTCGGCTCATGGCAGAGAGCCATCAACTGGGAGATGCAAAGTTGCAAAGCAGCATCTGACAATGAAGTTCACAAGTCGTTAACCAGCGATGTAAAGATGTGCTCGACAGGCTGCAAGTGAAACGACCTCCCAGGTTTAACACTTAGTCTTCATAATATGCCAGAGAAATTTCTGAGGAGAGTAGTCGGCCAAAAGAAAATGAACAATAAACCCTATGATGGAAGTCAATGCTCCTGGAAACTTTTATTATTTCTTTGGTTAAATTTTTCTCTATTATTATTTCTCTGTGCATAGCATGGATGAAAGGTCCTGGGTGAACTGAAGTCCTCTGACCATCCTCAGAAGGCTGAAGTTAGAGGACCTTTCAAAGCAAGGTTGCTCATCCTGGTAAACACAAAATCTTCACCTGATCTGAAACAAAAAGTGTCCTTTCAAGTTTGAGCCACTCAACTTTTTTTAAAACCATTTAAAATACTTTAAATTTGCATTTTTTTTCTTTAAAATTTGACTTCTATTTCAAGCACATTAAAATTCTCCCCTCTACTCCTTTTTAGTCAAAACTCTTCACTGAATTCTTCAGTTTATAAATAGTTTTGGTCCTCTAAACCATCATTTTTATGACTTTCATATTTCTGGAAAAAAGGCGCTGCTATTATTAGTCACCTACAGTCTTCAAGATATTACCCAAAGTATTGTCAAACAACTTCTGTTCCACTATTACTGCGAGGGCACCCTATTAAATGGATGTTTTTTCTTTGACCAGTCACTTCAGACAGGTTTCTCAACCCACAGTTGTGCAATCAGTTAGCAAATTATTTTGACGTTGAAAATACTCTTAGAGGAAATTTCCAGTTTGTTCTCACATGGTTGTGTGCTCCCAGCCACCTTTCTCTCAGCTGAGCCCAGATCACCATGTTCGGGTTCACCAAGAATGATGCCCCTTCATAGGAGAGGGAAGAGATGTGAGATCCCACCCCAATGGAGAGGTGCATTGCATTGGGTCATTTTAAGTCAGGGGAAAGTCATGTACCTGGTGCTACAGTATAACATGGGGAACTTAATGTTTCTGATGCAAAGGTGGGTTTATGGGGAGGGAGCTGTTTGGACAAGAGCTGCGACTCCCCATCGCTTTTGAGATGAATCTCTGTGTAATGTCTGGCTGGTGCCTCCCCTTAGCTCCACTTTCCTGCTTTTGCCACACCTGGGATATAATTACAACCTATTTCATCTGTACTTAAGTCAGGTTTAGAGTATAATTTTTAGCACATTCAATATCTAAATAAAAGTTCTCCCTTGCAATGGGCAAGAAAAGGTAGCAGAAAACAAATGTCTCCTAGGAAGCCAGTTAAATAACTTGCAATCTGGACTTCCTCATGAGGATAAATACGGGGCCACAGCTCTTTGCCTTCCCCATGAACGCTCTGCTCTGCTGGTGAAGAGATTTCCTTAAGGCTTTTATCCAGTGAAATCACCTAACCTATCATTTTCAGGCATGGAATTTTTCTGCTCACACATGCTGTCAGTTGTTCTGTGGGGTTATTTCTCATGCAAACCAAAATAGTTCCTGATTTAAAATGTTCCTCAACCTGACTGTTCACATGATAAATGACATAATGGAGTCGCATTCGTTAGCACCAGAAGCAAACTCCAAAATAGAACCAGACAATTACTAAACAAACATTCTGTAATTATCTTTTCTTTCCTGACCAGCTGAACGATGAAGAAAGCGGCAATGTGTGGAGCTCATGATTAGAGCTGGTCATTTAGGCAAGAAAAAATATCGGATTCAAGTGTATTTCATCAATCAGAGTGTGGAGGGAGCTGGTTTCAGCCAATGGGACCAATATTGTGGCGGATGTTGATTGTTTTCCTGGTGCTGACTCCCACTGACTTCCCTTTTTATACTTCTAATCTGTTTCCTACATCACTTCACGCAGCCTTCTCTGGCTTATTTTCTTCCATCTTCCATTAATAATTCTATCGCTTTTAGGCATGCTCTTGAACTTCAGCCATTACTGACGCCTTGATACACATCTTCGGACCTGTCATGCTATATATCACATTATCCATGTTTGAATACTTACATGGAGGTGTTTGCAAGTAGGCATGTCCTCATAAGAACTGCAAGAGTCTTTTACAGACCTTTGTTAGTCCTTCTTTGGAGCTCATTAGTCCATTATCTGGCAACATAATAGCCGTATTTTGAGGCACACCATTATTTCAATTACAGAATGATCATAATTAGGCTCTCTGCTCATTAGGACTTCATCGCTTAGTCTACAGATGGAAACCTGTATAAATCTTAATTAAGAGAAAAAAAAATTGCTTGTTGTTTAAACATGAGTTTAACCTTAAATACTACCCTACAAATTAAGGACAAGCCTGAGTGTTTTTTTACATATAGCGAGGGTAACTCCTATTTGATTATTTGCCCAAGGAAAAGAAATGTTCCAGATGTTCGAGGCAAAACAGCTCAGAGTTTTTGCATCTGCTTGTGAAAGAATTCGTGTGGTTTGGACTCCAAGTGACTCTGAGCAGACACCTCTGCTCAGGTCCAGTCCCCAAAGGCCATGGATACCTCAGAAATGTTGACTCTGGAGGTATTTGTTGGCGATGCAGGTGAGGAGCGCACAGTGAAGGTGGCGAAGGGGGAGTTTCTGCGTGATGCGCTGACGGCCAGGCAGCAGCACGGTCCCTTCTGCAGGCTGGTAAAGCTGGGTCCTGCCTGGTGGCAGAGGGGCAGAGAGTTTGGTTTCTTAATATGTCATTCTGGCAAGCATTTCATTTGTTGAATGAAGAATCTGTTCCTTTCAATTTGAAGCACCAATTGTCACTAGGGAATATCCTGAAGGGAAGAGTCTGAAGTTTAAGAATTATTTTTAAAAAATATTCAGCATGCATTTATGAACAGCCAACAACTCAACAACTACCATGCAGGGTGAAGTTTTGTCATTCCTGGAGGTATTTATGACAGGTATAATTGTTAGTTTAACTCCTGATGAGCCCTAAGAAGGCAGCATTTGTCATCATGAAGTTTTGTGTCTCCGTGGAACGGGGTGTTTGGAGCAACCATCGCTCAAGTCCTTGCTGGGGCTTGTTCTAGATCGTGAAAACCCAAGCTAGGTGGATCGCTAGAGACTTGCCTAAAGCAGCAGGATCTGCACCCAGTGTAGCAGAGCTGGTGAATCCCGCAGGCCTCCTCTTGTGCCTGCCTGCAGAGGAAAGGAGCTGTTGCAAGTCCCCAGGGAGGACCTCTCCCTTTTTCTCTCCTGCTGTAGCCAGGTGTGCTTGTACTTCTGGAAGTAGCTCAGTGAGTCCTTTGCATTTCAGTTATATATCCAAAGGGCATGTGCTTTTCTTAGTGCTGGTAGCATCTGTCAGCTCTTCCTGAAACAACTCTCCAGGCATGAGGTAGATAAAATTTGGTGGCACTACGGATAAAATCAACTACTGCTGGTTTCTGTAACAAAATAAGGAACACCCAGCCTTGCAGTCAACACGAGAAGGTTTAATACACAGAGAAAAAACTCATGAGAAATCTGTTGTCCTCTTTCCATTAACCTTAATGTTAACCTAGAGAAATATGGAAGGTCTGTCCTTTCCTCCTCCCATCGTTGTGTTTGGTACAGTGTCTGGGGCTTTACTTGGTAAAGTGCTATCACGCAAAGACAGCTCTATCTTATGTTGCTTTGTAATAAACACTGGATTAAGGATACAAGCACAGCTACTTCATCACCGTGATCTAATGACATTCAGGAAATACGAGTGCTTTGAACTGCTTTGATTCCAAGAGCAAGGGGAGCAATGATTGATTAAATCTTCAGTGTTTAAGATCAGAAATAAAGTCAGGAGGATGCTGCAAAAGGCCAGGAAAACTGCAGGGAATATTGACTGAAAGTCACTTCAAGTGCTAGGGAGCATTTCATCTTCCTAGACCCGAGGAAAACATTTAATTTCTTTTATAATTTTTTTTTTAGTCAATCAGTATCATCAAACTCATTCTGCTGGTAGACTTTACTCTGGTCTTCCTGGTATGCTCAGCAGATTATGCAATATCAGATCAAATATTATTGCTCAAGGATTCATGCCTTGTGGTTTGAAGATGCAACACACAAGTGGAAGTGCTGGGGCAGAAGTGGAACTACCTGTGTCCACCGCTGCTAGCGGTGAGGGCAGGGACCGGCAGGAGCAAGCAGAGCTGCTGGCTCATGGGGCACCTGCCCAGTTGTTGGACACACGAGTATGGGAGAACTGGGAATTGTTTGGCTTTTGAAGATGAATCAGAAAAGTGGAAGCATTGGTCTAAGAACACTTAAAATCAGATTTGAGGGGTTGCCTTTTTTTCTGGTGAGTACCCCCTGCCTCCGTTTCATGCTGAACCACTCCCAGTGCAACACACAGTTTTTTAGAAGCCTTATGCAAGGGTTGAATTGATCAGGTCTTAAGAATAGTGTTATACAATTAAACTTATGAAATTGCAAATATAAAAATCAACTTTTTTATTTCCTTACTTTTTGAAAATAACTCTTTCGTTATTTTTTTAGACAAAATTATTGAGTATGGCCCACATTCATTTGTTTATTTTTTTTCCCAAAAGCATTGTCTTAGTAAAAAACAGAAAATTCTGTCTATCTCTTCATACAAGCAATTGCTTTCAGCTGTGATTTTCTAACTCCCAAGGGAATTAATGATTAAAGAAGAGCTCTTCATAATGCATGTGTATATGTGTGTATGTCTGTATATAGATATTATATTGCTTATTTATTATTTATGCTGCAAGGGCTTATTCAAAACATTGCTCTATCTTTTTCTTTGAAAATACTCATCCAGAAAAATTAATGGCCTGTGTCTCCATCTTGTTCCTTTCAGTGACAGCTCAGGTCCCTTTTTGTGACCCCATGGTGAGCTTCAGAGCAATGCCCCAGCCTCTGCCGTGCATGGGCTGGGAGCTGGAGGGTCCTAATTCATTCTCGTGGTTCCAGTTGCTGGTACATCTGGAACCTGCTGTACAAGACCAGAAAAGTTGTTTCACTCCTTGTGTCTGCTCTCGCCCTCCCCTGCAGTGATGGCCATGAGGAGAGGCACTTGGACACATGTGGGATGCAGTCCATGGTCCCATGGAGGCAGGCCCGCCTGCGTGCAGCACCACGCTGCCCGAAGAAAGCCTCCATCACTCCCCAGGGAGCCGGGACCTGAGATCTCAGCATCCTGCTAGCAATGGCAGCCTTCTGAGGTAGCAAGACACAGAGGGCTCTTTTGATTAAAAATAGGTCAAGATTTAATTGAAATGAAGATACATTTTCAGATGTGCAGAAATTTGAACCAGCATTGAACCTTTCTTTTTTTTCCCCTCATTTGATGCTCATGATTTGAAAGATGTGCAAAATTTCTGGATTTCTGGAATAGACAGTGACCCAATAATGCAATACAGCTCTCCCCTCACTGCCCTCTCCCCCCAAAATTTCCTGAAGTTTTATTCATCTTTTCATACATCACTAAGTAAACATCCCCCTTCCCGTCACTGGCCTGATGGAGACTTACTGCATGGCTGTGCAAAGCAGAAGGGTTGTGATACAAAATGCGATGCAGAGGCACAGGGGATTTTGGCGTCCTTGAGGTATCTCTGCCAGGAGCATGGCAAGCAGTTCAATTTCAGGTGTAATGAGATTAATTTGCGAATCACTTGTATTGAACCTTTTGTGATTTTGCTATTCTCTCCAACAGTTACAAGTCTTGACTAATAAACACTTATTATATCCAATAGGGAACATTTCCGTGTCTCTGTGTGCAGTGTGGCTGGAGAGGATAGACTTCAGCTTGGTTTTTTGAATATTTTCCAATGAGATGACCAGGCATTAGCATTCACACCTGTTTGGTACAGGTTTCCAAACATGGCTCCTTAGCAACAGAAGTAATGTTAAATTAAACTGATAAATGATGCTCGAAAAAAATGAAGAACTCCAGCAGAGAGATTAATTTGTGATGCCCTTTTAGGAAAGATTTACGGAATGTGATGTGCATTTGCTATCTGCCAAGTGCAATTGTTCATCACCTGAGTACATAAGCTTTGCAAAACTATTTTCTGATGAAGTCTAAAGTTAGATCTACTTACCCTTCCCAGCTGGTGAGGAAAGATCTACCCCTTCATTAAAGCTCTTCCTCTCACCTTGGCTGAAGCCCTGGGGAGACCTGGCCAGCCTGGGAGATGGCAAGGGTATCACTCGAGGCGCTGGCCAGCCACTGGGCACTGGGACATGGTCTCCTAACACCCCCGGCCCTGATGCTATGGATCAGTGCTCTCCAGCACCATTTTCTGCCATGCTGTTCCACTTCTCTTCATTCGTGAGATACTGAACTTATAAACAAAACAAAACCACAGCCTCCACACCCCAAAGCTGATTTTATCATTCCTCCTCAGTCCTTTCCTCCTCAGTTTAATTAAAACCATGGTTTGACACCAGCACGCGGAAGGCTGTGAGACCAAGCCTATTCATGTTTGGTGATGAAAGAAAGCCTGCTCGCTCCACTCACAGGAGCCAGGCGGCATGTCCCTGCCTGCTACAAGCTGGTCCTCCAGCAGCTTTCATGTAGGGCAATGCTGAGACAGACCAGCGAGGGGTGGGGATGGTGGGAATGAGGCTTGGGGTGGACCTTGTGTGCACAGTGAGGTGATGCTGTGCCTACCTTTCAGAGCCCGCCCTGGGATCCTGTCTTTATATACTTGGAGAAGGGGATCAACACTCAGGCCAACACAAGGCTGCAGGTGCTTTTTCTGGGCTGAGCTCACCAACCCTTTCCATGGCTTTCCTCAGGGCTATCTTGACATGTGCCACTGCCCTGCCATGACTTCCAGCTCCTTCACAGTGAAGTCACTAGTAGAAAGCCACTTGTTTTATACCCTCCAGTTCCCTTTTCCTTTTCACTGATTGCTTTATATCACAGGCAGTCCTTCTGACATGTGCACTTCATCAGTTTGTGACAGGAAGATGGGTCAATGGGCAAGCTCTGAATAAACAGCAAAAGCCCAAAATTGGAAATAAGGATTGCTCTGCTGAGCACAGTTCTGTTGTCCTGGCTCCCACAATGGCCAGAGGAAAGTAAAGAGAGTAATTATGAGTTATGTTTCTTCTGCACCTCTGTTAGTGTGAATCTAGTTTATGCATCAAAATGGAAAGGCTTTCCAAAAAATACTTCATTGTTCTGCAAATTCTCCTTTTCCATAGTGATGTCCAATTTCTTTCTGAATTGTGCTTGGCTCTTGTCCTCAATAATTTCCAGCAGCCTTGTATTTCACGGGGCATTTATATACCGGCTGTAAAATCTTTTGATGGGCTTTAAAAGGTTGGATTAAAGGATTTGACACCCATGAACTACCTGCCAGTTGGCTGCCACTGCCTTCTAGCTTCATTTCCTTCTGTCGCTCTCAAGCAAATTCTAGCCCAAAGAATATTTCCAGTTTGCCTTGATGGTGGCAGTGATTCTCAAAGTATCTTCAGGCTCTTCATCTTTGATAAAGACTGAAACCACAGTCCCAGGCTGGCCTCCACTGAATCAACACATCTACTCCCATGGGATTTCAGTCTTGAGCTATGCCCCAACCCTTTCCTCTGAAGCCAAAGACATTAGAGATGGAAGCAGCCACCTCCAGGTTAGTTACTTCACCTCTAGGTGAACCAGTCCATCCTAGTGGTCCACCTGCTTTCCCAGA